ATTCAATACCCTAAAAAATTAAACTTTGTCAACGTGGTCACACCTCTCTAACCAATGAAATTGTCAAATCTATAAGCATTAAATGTTTATATATATGGAATAGGTCATCACTAATTGACCTAACCTAACATATAGTACTACTTCTTAATTGACCCTTATGTATTCAAAATATTTAAGCAAATCATATAATATAAAACTATATATGAGTACATGGTACACCATTACTACTAGCTAAGACCACATGTGTTTGAAATCACAATAAATAAGAGAATTAACTTTTATTTTATGTCTATATTAAAAAAATCCGATCTTGTATATATAGTGTGTTTTTACGGTGAAAGGGTTCGAATGAATACCTTCGTCCACCATAGCTAGTTCCTTAAATATCATTATTTAGGGTTGTTTGGTTTGAAAGATAAGTTATGCTGAAATTATTTATTTAAATATTATTTTTATTAGTTGTTTGGTTAGTTATATTAAAAACAATGTGCATCGCATAATATAAGAATAAGTTGTTTGTTTACAAAAATATCTTTCATCTTATTTAATAGATAAAAGGTTTGAGGAACCTTAGAAGTATTTTTGTCATTTTTGTTGTTTTAATACTGGAATAACTAATTCGGATACTATTGTTTCACCCTATGACAGAGATAATGTATCCTGATACTAATTACTATTACTAATATAATTTATTTCAAACTTAGTAATCAAACAAGGGATACTACAATAGTAATTTATATTCCAAAACTATTAATGTATGTCCAGTATACTGAGCGATAATGATCTTTCATTGATGTATGAGTTTGAATAGTGATGAGATAAGATATTCATCGAGAAATTCAACATCTATTATAATGTGATTTTTTTAGCGAAAAAGATTGAGATGAATAATTTCGGCATTTTTAACTCAACCATTAAGTTTGAGTAACTTTTTAATTATAAAACACCATATTGTGATTTCCTTGTAATATTTAGGTAATGGTGGGTGATTGTTTTGTTGCTAATGATTGTTTAGTGATTTGAATGCAATAAAGTAAAAGTTAAGACAACGAGAACTTAGAATTAGTTTTTGTGTGGAAAATAGGCATGCTGTTAGACCTTAGTAACTAAAAGAGTATGCTTTGTGTGGAATATGATTTACAATCAATAGTTTGATCTAATCAAATATATTAGAGAATATATCTATCAATAGCTTCTTGTTTTTCTTATTCGGTATTTGATTAATTTGAAACTAAATTAAATTTAGATTTGCATCAAAAAATTCCTTTATCACATGGTAGATCACTTTATAATAAAGAATACTTTGTACTGAAAATTTGATTTTAAAACTTTTGATTAAGAATGACGAAACGATTATCACATCATCACAATACTTATCGATGCAACCCATTATTCGAATATATATATGAAACTTCTAATCAAGAATGACATAATACTTATATTTGAAACTTCTTTATCTCCCTCTCGTCCATATTAAGAGAATTGTTGAAACTTTTTTTTACAATTCAAAATAAATGAATTCTTCAAAGTTCAAAAGAATTGTTAAGACTTTTTCTCATATTTATTCCCCTTGTTAATAAAGTTTTTACTATTTTATATTTTTCAGAAGAATAATCAAAAAGGTAATAGTGAAAAATAACTTTTATTTTTTTTCCTTAAATATTTTTCTTAAGAAGTGTGTCATACGCCAACAATACACAACTTATACATAAAATATTTAAAATGTCTAAATATTTATTATTCTATCACGATCCTTATGGATGACACATATTAATAACTCGTTTTATGTAAAGCGTCCCTTGAAGTATTTTAATATTTAGGCAAAGCCTAAGTCATGCATATACAACATAATAAAAAGAGTCATGCTCCATGGCTGATAAAACACTACTGCCACTACTGTTGAAGCATATGGCTTTGCCGGCCTAAAAATAATTCAATACATCTACAATCTTATTTTGGTCAACTCCAATTAATTTTATAAATTTTTTTATATTTATATGTAAATTTATTTTATGACATTTTCTTCTATTTCTCTTTAGATTTTTTACCATTAAATTCATCTTACTATTGAAATTATGAGTTATTTCTTAAATCTTTGAATTTGTCCACACACATGTATATATATACACCCCCAAAACAAAAATTCCTTTAGTTATTTTCTTTATATTGATAAGGAAATTCACAATTGTTATTTTTAATACACATAATAAATTATACTAGGCAAATTACTTACGTCGAGATATTTGTATGATAATTTTTTTTATGCAAATTACAATTGACCATGAAAAAATTATTTTCTCATGGTATAGTTAGATCACATACAAAAAATATGGAGATTAATTTTTTATTTCTGTGATGTCCAGACGATCAAGTAAGATTGATAGATTTTTGTGTTGACAAGCTTTTGAAAATAATGTGCATATCAAATTAATTTAGTATGTGATCCAAACGATCTCAAAGATATAAGCAATTCATGCATAACTCTAATCTAAAAAATTAATCTAAATTTAAAATGGATAATACGTGTCATAGAGTCGAAATTAAGCAGTTGGTTGAGCCGCCGGAAGAGTATGTAAGAGAGTTTGCGTAGCGATCTGAAAGAAAAATAAGCATAAGGACGCGTTATGTTGTTTGATTTATTCTCCCAATTTTGAAGCAAACAACACCCTTATATTCTCGGACCCACTCCACCGCCCACCCAACCCCATTCCCTTTCCTTCCTACATTCACCAAATTCACACCAAACTAAAAAAAATAAAATTTACCAAGAAAGATAGATGAACATATTATTGTAACAAGTAGGGATGAAACTATACAGAAGCGGAGTAAGAATTTTAATTTTATAAATTTTGAATTTTAGAATGATAATTTTGAGTAATAATAATTCAGTTTTAAGATTATTTTTTTAATACATATTTAATGATTTTTTTGATAAAAATATATAATTTGAGCAAAAGTTATTGAATTTGATCGAATCTGTATCAAGCTTCTGATTAACTACGGAAGAGTAAAAAAGGGTTTATCGAACATCCACCCCCACCATTAAATCACATTATATGTATATATATAATCAACGATATATGAGTTTTAATGTATGAATTTTGAATTATAATTTTTTATATTTTGATATGTTAAATAATTTTTTTAAATGCACATATAAGGTTTGGATTAAAATTATTTGCCTCGTAATTATCATCATTCCTCCGCTCATATATATAAAGTATTGAATTTTCTTAGTGAAAATATTATTTTGTCACATGTACAAATAATTGTTAAGTTCAAACAAGATAGGATCAATACATCCAAATAAGGTAGTTCTGCCTAATGTTATCAAGAGAGTGTTAAAGAGGGTTGAGATCTTGAGAATGAGTAAAGAAATTTTAATACTCCCTCAATTATTTTTCATGTTGAATAAGTTATGAAGGATCTGAATCTAATTTTTTATTGATTCTGTTATATCTGTATTATAAAAATTATTTATCATTTAAAAAAAAAATTAATAATATGAACAAGTTCACACGAACATAATTATCAGGATAAAAAACATTAAACATTAATTAATTGCATTACAATTTTTATATCAGTTACCAATACAGAGTATGATCACATATTTTGAATGATGATTTCAAAAAATTGTTCCAAATTCCAACACATGTGAAAATCTTTTGTCTGCAAATGTCAAGTAGACGTAAAACATGAGCATATTAGTATCAAATATCAATGCTTTCCTTGGATGCCATTCATAGATGCTCTATTTTTATTATTGAGTCGACGAAGCTATAGTGTATTATTATTTTGGGTCGAGTTCAGTATTTTCAATGCGAAATAAAAATTAAATTAAATTATAATAAATTATAGATATATATTATAATTTTAAATAAAAGTACAATATAGTCAATACAAAAATCTTAAAATTTAAACTTATAAATTAAAATCTTGAATCGACTTTAATATTTATACTCCAAATATAGTGTTATAAATTTATAATTATACTATTGACTAGTATAATATAGTAGTACCTTAAAAGTCAAAGTACAATTATGATATTTTAAAGCTTATTAGGAAAGAGTTTTAATTATTTACATCATCAATATTATTAAATTATCTTTTATTTATTATAGTAAGTAATTTATTTTATTTTGAAGATTACAAATATCATATTTTAGGAAAAACTAATAATATAAAAATTTCCTGCTATAAAGGTGCATAAAACTTAGGAGCAGTATATTCATAATTTTCTTAAAAAGCATTTTGCTTATATTTGATTGGATTTCTGAATAATTTTTCGTTTTAAAATTTAAACAGTAAAAAATCGTTTACACACACAAGATTTAACCTTTGTTTTATAACAATTAATTAATATTACAATAATAATTACTGATTTCTTTTTCTATACATCTAATACGGATAAACTTTACTTAATTTATCCACACTCTATCTATTAATTTTATTCTTATATGACTTGATAATATATATAACTTAAACTCGTAACTGAACAAAAATTAGTAGTAGTAAATAAAAAAGATGTTTTATAGTAAGTGGAAGAGTTGTATTTAAGCACATACACCACTCTCTACATATCATCCACTCCCTCCCTATCTCTCTCTATATCTATATCTATATCTATATATATCTCTATATGTATATGTGTATACACATAAAAACAATTAAACATTTGTGTACCCTCTACCATATTTTGATTATTGTGTAAAACAAAGGGTGGAGAAAATATAGTTTGGTACATTATTGTCCCCTCTGGTGCTGGTTCTTGCAAAAAAATTTGTTGGTGGGGGTGAGTTTTTCTTGTTTTCAGATACCCATTATGTTATTGGATAGAAATTAAAGACTAAAAATTTGATGTATTCTTGTTTTGCAGTGGCAATTAAGGGTGAAGATTTTGTTGTTGCAAGAATCAAATCTGGAGTATTAAAAGATAGAATCTTTGCAAGTTTTAGTGAAAAGGGTGTTGAATGGTGTAAAATTAGGATTTTTGTTAAGGAGAGAAAATGGGATCTTATCAACTAATTAGAGAGAAGAAAGATGCAAGATTAAGATGGGATCCACAACAAGGGGATGTTATAGTTGAAGGAGAAGGGAAGAATTTGTCTCCTAGGATTGAGGTTATTACAAGTGATGCAACGAGTAATAATGATTTAGAGTTGTTTTTTCAGAAATCACCGACATCTCCTTTGTCTACATTGCCTAAATCTAGTGGTGGACCTCATTTTCGTAAGTCTAAGAGTGGAGGGAGTGCTCGTCTTCTTTCTCTTGACATTTTTCGAGGGATCACTGTTGCGGTAATTTCTCATATGATTCAGTTTTAGTTGAATGATTCAATGTTTATTCTCCTTTCTATCATCACTTGTCTATACTAAGGTAGTGTTAAGATCTACTTGTGTGATTACACTAGGATGTTTGTTCATTCAATTGTCTCTGTGGATTTGCTGATCCTGAAAATTTTCTTGTTTTGTGTCTTGTCTATTTTTAGTTTCTTTCTTTTGGGTAATTTCTCATCTGTTCTATTTTTAACAAAAATGTTGAATTTTTTGTTAAAGTCCAAGTCCATATTACCAGCTTCAGAGAACTAATTTTGGCATTCAGTCTTAGTTGAAGATTCAATGGACATATTGTTGTCTTTTTCTATCTCTGTGGAATTCCATATTCTCGCAATTTTGTTGTTTGGTGGCGATGTTTTTGACTCTTCTCTGTTTTTCATTTCTTTCCTTCGGCGTTTTCTTGTGTCAGAATTCTTTGCATTTCAGTAAAGTTCAAAGCTTTTTTCCTCCAAATTTGTCATTTGTTAATGTTGATTGTTCCAAGAGAACAACTACTACATAGATACGATTTACAAGTTACAACTGGCTCATTATTCTTTGACTTGTGTATTAAGTTGTTTTGACTTGTAAAAATATGAACTTTAGTTGAAAGAAAAGACAGGGACTTGGGTGGTGATTAAGGCTTAAGGATGTTTTCACTTTTAAGCAGAATTTTAATCTGAGAAACACGCTCCACATACCTCATTTCATCTTGTATAGTATGTGCAAATATTATACAAAAACTGATGACATTGTGATGGTTCAAGCCTAAATGGCTTCAAGAAAAAGGCCTTATGTTTCAATCGAATCATCCTGTTTTGGTGCCAAATAGTTGTGGGGAAACGAGGACAATGTACCATTTCGGGGATACAAGATAGGGATGAGAAAATGGGATTAAAGGAGATGGAACTGAACAAGGCTTACCAGACAAGGATGCTAATCTTATGTAGGTTTAAAAATGTCTTATCATGTAGAATTTATTTATTACAAAAAGGGAAATATGACAGTAGTTCTTCTTTGTGCGCATGTGAAGGAGGGACTAGGGAGTAAGATTGCCTGTTTGTTGTTTATGTGAAACTAATTCCTAAAACCTGAATGAGCAATTTGGTTCTTTTCCTTAAAATATATCATCTTATTCTCTCTTGCTTCTGGTACACTTTCTGCAGTTAATGATATTCGTGGAATACGCTGGTGGAATTTATCCTGCTATCAATCATTCACCATGGGATGGGATAACCCTGGCAGATTTTGTCATGCCATTTTTCCTCTTCATTGTTGGAGTGTCGCTTGCACTTGCGTACAAGGTAAATATGCTTTAAACAAAGTTCAGATTATTTAACTTGTTTTGTTGCTGGATTTGTTCATTTGCAGTTGTCTTGGGGGCAGAGAGCTTTCTCTTTTTGAAACCAATATAGATATTGGTTTTATAGCAAATTTTATCTCTAGTATCTATGCAATATGTATATGGACAAGCTGTGAATCAAGATATGAAGGACACTTTCATGATTTTATATTGGTTGAGCTGTTTTTGTAAGCCATTGTATTGAAGTTTCAGATGTTTTTTCTTCTTGTGCTTATAGAAATTCTTTTGGTTTATACAGAACATGCCCTGCAGACTGACTGCGACTGGAAAAGCAATTCACCGCGCGCTTAAGCTTCTCATCCTTGGACTCTTTCTTCAAGGTGCTCTTCTTTTAGTCATCTGTCTAACTTTACCTTGCAACAGCTGTTTATTAGTTTTTTATGCAGTGGCAAAATATTAGATTGATCTATTGGCAAGTATGACACTTACGTGCTTTCTCCCTCTCTAAGCAGGAGGCTATTTTCATGGTATCAAAAATCTAACTTATGGTGTGGACGTTGAGAGAATCAGATGGATGGGTATATTGCAAGTATGAAGCCACCATATTCTTTTGTGTTTTATATTATGTTGTGTATTTCTCTTGTTGTTCAAGTGGATATTTCTTTTTAACTTTTTTTTTTCTTTTTCTTCCCCAGCGAATTGCAATATCATTTTTGTTGGCAGCAATGTGTGAAATCTGGCTCAAGGGTGATAATAAAGTCAATTCAGGACAATCTTTGTTGAAGAGATACCATCAACAATGGTGAGTTCCGAGTCTTTTGACCATTCGTTCCAATAAAGATTATTTAAACTATTCGTCACTTAGCAGTAATCGTTACTAACTTCTTTCATCAATATGTTTTGCTTACCTTGAGCATAACATATTATTGACAAAAATTTAAATTAGTACAAGATCAGCTTGATTTGAAATTGAAACTTTGGTTGTGTTCAAAAGATGGTCCTCAGTCTGAAATGTTTTGAAGTCTAGTACTCCCTCCGTCCCATTTTATGTGAGGTAGTAGTTTGACTCGGCATGGAGTTTAAGAAAGAAAGGAAGACTTTTAAAACTTGTGGTCCTAAATGAATGATAGAAATTTGTGTGGCTGTAAATCATTTCATAAGGGTAAAATAGATATTTTATAGTTAAATTGTTACTTAATATAGAAATGTGTCATTCTTTTTGGGACCGACTAAAAAGGAAAGTAAGTCGCATAAATTGGGACAGAGGGAGTATTAAAGTAACTATATTGCAAAATGTTGGCGTGATATGGAGAAGGCTTGATTCCAAATGGCTAGACAATACTAATATGTGGTTATTTTCAACGATCAAAAAACTAATGTGTGTATTCTGTTCAAATAAGGTGTAGGAATTTTAACAACATGATCTTTTAAACAATATGCCCTGCCCATAGGGTGGTAAGTACCTAGTCCTCATGGTGTACCATCAGGATTGGAGATGATACACAAAAAATATGGACAATGACACCTTTTAGCTTATTGTAGTGATAAATAGAGTGAGTCTGTAAAGTAATAGGGTCAAGGATGCCAAAAGCTGAGTCTATGTAGAGATTTCTCTGCTCGATGTGAGTGTGTATGCGTGATAGTGAGAGAGAGAGAGCTAGGTTTCTTGTATGTGGAAACAGTGCCATCCTGAAATTCCTTTAAATGGTCTGTGCTGACTGCTAATAGCTGCAGTAACTCCTAGTCTCGACATCAGAAGGTAACTCCTTCAGTTATTGAATCTTCACTGTCACTAGTGTTTTGGATATCTCATGTGTCAGCATCCTGAGGGTGAGAAATATGAGAGTTTTCTCAGGCATGGCAATGGAATCTTGAAATACGAAGGAGCTCCATTAGCATGTTCAATGAGTGTCTTAGTAAGGGGAACAGTGGGATGCGAGAAATCGCATATATGTGTTAATCTCACTGGATAAATGGTGAACTTGTAATCTTATGATTCTGCATGTTAAATAGCCCACCCTTCTGGGATGGCATCTATGGTAGAAATCTGTTTCAATTGGCAAATGTGTTAAGACTGCAAATCAGAGATGGAGGTAGAGTAGTGGGTACAGGTTCAGCAAAACCCATTAGCTTTGGTTCGAACTTTGTATTCGTCTTAAAAAAAGTCATTATGTATAGATATTAATTTAGAACCCAGTAACTTCATGGGAAGTTTTTAATTATCAGATAGAGGTGCAAACTAGTAATTTTGTTCCCTTGAAAAGGGAAGACAAACGGATAGTGATGAACCATGGATTATTTAATGTCGGAGTATTCATAGGGGGATATCCATGGAAGAACAAGATACTGCAATTTGTCTGAATTTTTTTTTGTTTTTGTCTTATATAGCTGCAAATGTGGTGCATTTTGAACTTTTTCTAAAGCTTCATGCTTCTGTCAATTTTTTTTAATGTTAGAATGCTTAATCTGCATTATTCTCAAAAACAAGAAAACAATGCTTAATCTTCACTCTCCTGTTTAATCATATTTCCTTTTTCTCCCTCTATTTTTGTTTCTCCAGGGCCATGGCTATAATGGTTACTGCTTTATACCTTTCTTTGTTCTACGGTTTATATGTTCCTGACTGGGAATATCAGATGCCAATGGACATATCTTCTTCAGAAGCAAAGATATTCACAGTAAGCTGTTCACTGCAATTAGTTGTCTATTTAAGTTTTCCTTGAAAGGTCTGGGATGACATCCCGTTTTACAAATGGAAATGATGAGTTTTGTTAACATGACTATGTTCCCTTTGAAGGTGAAATGTGGTGTACGGGGAGACAGTGGACCAGCATGTAATGCTGTTGGAATGATTGATCGAAAAATATTGGGTATTCAACACTTATATGCAAGAGCCATTTATGGACGATCAAAAGTATTCTTCCTCCCTTAGTATTTCAAAGTTTCTCTTTCTGTTACTTTCCATTTTCAGCATTCCTTGATATTCAAACGTTTTGATTGTTTTCTTGACAGGAATGTAGTGTCAACTCCCCTAACTACGGTCCCCTTCCTCTAGATGCTCCATCATGGTGTCAAGCCCCTTTCGACCCAGAAGGACTTTTGAGGTCTGTAAGTGATACCTCAATATCTTTTGTTATTTGTCAGAAACTTATAATGTGTCTCAAAATAAAACCCCATTCCTTTGTTACTCTCTTATCTTTGGTTGGAATTTGTCAATTAAGCTCATTTGACTTTGTTGTAGCTCATTGATGGCTATTGTAACTTGCTTCATTGGTTTGCATTACGGACACATCATTGTTCATTTCAAGGTAAACATTTTCTGCATTCTCGTTTTGTATATTCTTTTTTTCCCTTGGATGAGAAGCTCACTTATTTTGTTGCTCTGCATCCTAATGTGTTCCAGGATCATAGAGTTAGAATTCAGCAATGGTTGGTACCATCCTCTTGTCTCGTACTGTTGGGTGTAACATGTGACTGCCTCGGTAAGCTTTTCTTTTAAATTTCTGTTCCTTTTCATGCTATACATCTTAGAGCTTTGTTTTACCATAGAGAGCAAATATACAGAGTATTAACTTCTCTTTTCTATTTACTTCATTTAGGGATGCACGCAAACAAGGTTTTGTACTCCTTCAGTTATATGTGTATTACTGCTGGCTCTGCTGGCTTTCTCTTCACTGCAGTCTATATGATGGTTAGACACTATTCATCCCTTTTTAGTCTTTCCTTGAACATTATCTGAACATGCTTGGTCTGTCTACTAAGGCAAAGCTTCAGAGTTCCGTTTTGGTATCTGATTTTATCTTGACTTGCTTCTCCTAGAACTTAGTTTTGAACCTTGTGCTATTGACCCTCAGGATTTCTTGGTTCAATGCTTGAAACTCGGTGGAAAGTATAATTTAAAGAATAAGTTTGGTATTTCGCATATATCTGGCGCTTTACATATCAAAAGTTTTTTTCTTCTTAAAACTCCATTGTCAATGAGTCAAGATTTAATATAAGAAGTTCCTTTGTCGAAAAGCTTCAGATATACAAGTAGCTATGTCTAGTGGCCGAACAAGGATTTCCACTAAGGAGATTCAAAATATAAAGAAGGGTTCAATATCCACTATATATATATATATATATATATATAAGAAATAATTTTGACCTTGTACATATAGTGTACTTTTTCGACGAACCCCTTCTGCTACCCTAGTTCCGCCCATGGCAATATGATTTTGAGACAGTTTGATCTTTTTTTTGGTCGTAGTTTACCTTTTCAAGGCTAGTTGCTGTCAAAAACTGCAGCCGTGCTAGGGGTTGGTAAATAAGTCATTCTTTTGTTACATAGCTAAAAGCTTTGTTCTTTCTATAGGTTGATGTGTGGGGCTATAGACACTGGACCACTATACTGAAATGGATGGGAACGAACGCGTTGCTGATTTATATTCTTGTATCGTGCAACATCCTGCCCGTTCTTTTGCAGGGATTCTACTGGAGGCGGCCTGAAAATAACATTGTCAGTACATGCTTAGACTCTTACACATTATCCATTTCGATGAATTTCAATAGTTTCCTCTAACTATACATTCCATTTTTGGCAGCTCACGATGATTGGTGTCGGACCTAAGAAGTAGCAGAGAGCAATAACCGGCATGCTGAGTCGCTAAAGCATTTATCACCAATGCTTGATAATTTTTTCGCGGAATGAAATCTTCAGAGCGAGCTTAGTACGAGGCAAAAATCTCTCCATCTTACGCGTGACACTCTCTATATGTAAATTTATGTATATGTATAATTGGCTTGCGAGTGCACGAAACACACACACACATATCATATTTTATTAGCTCGTCGATCTATTGACAGAAACGCGGTTTTTATGAATGAGAAATCTGCTCATAGAAGCAGCAGAGGTATTACCTCAGGACAATGAAGATTTTCTCTTTGGTAAACTGCAGTAGTTAGTTTTTAGGTCCAGTGAGATTGGCTTTCATCACACACTACTTCTTGCTGTATTAATATCAGACTAGTTGAGGTCGGTTATATGAATCCTCCATTTATCTACTTTTCTATATTCATGTTCGATATGGCATGTAGGCGGGGAGTTCAGTATTCAAGAGATTCATCGTACGTATACTAGTAGTTTCATTGGTCGTCAACATTTTGCAATAACATCTGTCCCAATTTAGGTGACAAATAATTTAACTTTAAAATTTCTATATATAGTTCAATTGATGTCTACGTATAGTCCAATGTAATGTCATTTTGAACACTTTTATAATTTATAAATATTACAACAACATACACAGTGTAGTTTCACAAAGAGGGGTTTGAAAAAGGTAAAGTATACATAAATTTTATATCTATCTTAGGGCATCTCCAACCCAAACATCAAATTTGGTGTCAACACTATTTTAGTGTAAATCAACTCCAACCCACTGCACTAAATTTTACACCAAAATGGAATATTTTTTTCTCTTCATTATTATATTATTATTTCTTATTTCATTTATATTTTCTTATTTCATAAAACAAATTCTTTCTAAAATATTCACCATATACAATGCATAATATTTTCATTTATAGTCGTTTAATATAAAATTATTTTATACCATAAATAATTTATAGTAGAATTAACATAAATTTAATATTTAAAAAAAAGTCATATATAGAAAAGTTAATTTATAAAAAAAGCTATCTTTTATATATAAAATTAATATTATAAAAATATTACACAAAAAATAATTAAATAAACAAGAGATTTAATTAAAACATACAATTTATATAATGTTTAATTAAAAGTTTTGTATAATGAAATAATATTAAAATATTCAATCAAGTGAATTGGTGTGATGAATAGTGTTACACCAAATTTGGTGTAACATTATTCACACACCAAAATGGTGTAAAATTTGGTGTTGGATTGGAGCTCCAAAACACCAAATTTTACACCAAATAAGGATTTGGTGTTGGGTTGGAGATGGTCTTAGGGGTAGAGAGGTTGTTGTTGATATAACTTTGGCTCAAAGAAAAAGGGTCTAGTAACAAAAATAGATAGTAACATATAAAAATTATAACAAAACAATAGGATAATCGAAATATAAAAAATACCATATAGAGTAATAAAAGTCAAAGAACACGAAATTACCGGCACATTAATACCAATCCACACCAATTTATGTAACAAATAGTTACATAACACGAAACTACACTATAATGTATAAAAAATAAGTCTTATTAATTTATATATAGAATCCAAGTTGAAAAGTAGGTGCATATTAATACCAACCACGACCAATTTATGTAAAGACAAAATTAGTTGAACAATAAATATCTCAAAGTTAATATAGTGATGAAACAGTAGGAAAGTAGAAGTTTATTCATTTACTAAATCCCAAGTCTTTAACAAAAAAAAAGGTTTAAAAAGGTGCTCCCTGGTAGGTAGTTTAAAATTTTAAACTAATTTTTAAATAATACATCACAAAATCTGAACTAACTTTCTTCAAGTTAACTGAATAGATATTATCCGTTAGGGGGTTGTTATTCCCACTTTAAATAATAATATGGGGTAAATTGTTTAGCTCTAACGATCTTAAAATGTGAACTCATTATATTTAAATTATAAATTCACCTCCAAGTGAATCCTTCATTCATAATCATAAGTTTTGGGTTCAAGTCTTGAATATGGAAAAAAATCACGGTATTGGTACTTGGTAGGTAACACTTTCGTTCAATTATAGGCCTTACATAACACATCTAAATCAATCGGAGCCTCAATACAAGTACCAAACACCAAATAATTTTATTTTTTTTAAATAGTAGATGATAGTGCTACTTTCCTTCTTGAATAAATAAAAATAAATTATTATTATTATTGAAATGTTATAGTAGACTTGCTACACACAATATTACACCCTTCATGCTCAAATTTTTCAAAAATATTATCATATTAGTATCGAATTCTCTAAAATGCATAATTTTTACAGAATCAGACACATGCTTAATAATATTTTTAAAAAATCCGAAGTTAATTTTTGTTTCATGAATTCCTTGGAACATCTCTATTCCTCTTACACTCTTTTGGCATTGTAGAGAACCTCTTTTTATCAGTACAATAGTTATAAATTGTATACTTATCCCTAACTCTTCTCAAAAGTCTCCATTGAGTTGTGTCCAAATCTTGAAATTCCTTTTGATCCCACCAACTTTTGCCTTGATTGGTACAAAACTTGGCATTCACAGAAGATTCACAACCATCAATGTGAAAGCCTTTGTATGAGGCAACAAAGGGTGCATTTGACCAATCAATTTTTTCAAGTCCACCTCTTGTTGCCCAATCATCTGCCTCCCATAGACTTGAGTATATCTTCATTGGTTGGTCAAATGGGAATTTGATACCTAAGTTCTTGTTGTTCTTGAACACTCTTATGGGATACTCATCCACAAAGAACCTGATGTCAAATAGACGAATTGAATTAAACTTGAATAGATTAAAATATATTACAAAAAACTTATAAATAATCATACATTTTTCCATCCTTATATTTGAAAAATAGTCAATGTCTTACGGTTTCAAAAATCATAAGGGAAATTAAGAGCAAGATAATGACCTAAAATTTCACTTGTGGTATATGAAACTTTACGATAATAGCTGGTTTTTTTTAAAACAATCAAAAAGTAGTTAGTAAACGCTATTTCTACATCAAAACAAGTCAAACTAATAAATTGTCATGATTTAACGCGCCTAAGGTTTATTTGGATCAAAATAGTTCAAATAATGATCATAACTTAACCCTCCTAGCCTGACCTAACTTCACCTCCTTTTTTATGTCGTCTTTTTGAGGAAAAAAAAAAGATGAAACTCTGACATTTTCTTAAATTATTATCTTATTTTTTCAGATTTATATAATTCTCAATCTTCAAATTTTGAGTTTGTAAACTTGGGTTTGGGTTATATTTTGACTCAATAGTTTGATGAGTCATTTCAAGTTCAACCCATTATGTTAAATTAACAAACGATCATAATTCAATTCATTTAAACTTGAACAGGTTCAACCTTTGAAATGTAAAATTCCTTAATAAAGATCGTTTCATTCTAAATAGACTCTATATAACACAAATCTAAATTAATTAAACAATTTTTGGATATCAAATGATCATAAAAAAATTACTTACACAATTTGGTAAAGATTCCACAAGACAGAGTAAGTGTGATAATCTTTTGTTGGATCAAACCATAAGTAAATCCTTTGCTCTTTGTCACCTTTCCCTCCCGTGTATACATTTGTTTGTAAAATGTATGGTTCTCCTGTTTTATTCCCCAAGAACTCAAAGTCTATTTCATCATGTTCTGAATTTTGAGAAGACAACTGCATACACACAAAGTAATTCACATCGTCAGAATAAATTCAAGATTTTAACTTTATAGATTCGGAAATTTTTGTACCTATGTAATATGTTTTTAACATATATATTTCTCAGACCCAACATTTTGAAATTATATTGAATATACTATTGTTATTGTTATATATAGTGTAATGAGACAAAGTTAGATTTGCTTGAATCCGCTTTCAAATATAGTTTTTTGGCCGTAAAACCTACAAAGAAGCCAATCGATGGTCTTTCGTGGATCGTGGCAGTGACACAAAATTTTGTGCAAGTAGTATCGGATTATTATTTTGTTAGAAGCGGTGTTAACTTACTATCATCAGGGGGCGGAGCTACATTTGCTCGAGGGGTGTCAAGCAACACCCCTTCACTAGGAAATTATATTGTATAAATAGGTCAAATTTTAGTTTTATAGTCACATATATATTAGTGTTGACGTGTCTTGATACATGTTCAATCCTAGCTAGCAACATTGTTATAATTTTTTGATACCCCTAAATAAAAAATTCTAGCTTTTCCACTGACTATCATACCTTTACATTATAACAAAATGTATGTTGTATAGTTTATATAGTCGATTCCAACTAATTTAAGATCGAAATACAATGAATTGACTATTAGTATATGTTATTGACTTACATAGAAAGCAGTGACTGTGCCTGCAGAATCACCAGCAACCATCTTTATGTGCATAGCAAAGTGCCCAAATAGATAAGATCCTTTTGACTGAAAGCCAGTACCTATATGTCCCAACACAAATTCAAAATCAGAAGCATTAACATAAAAAGTAACAATTTTTGAAAGAAAAAAAAAAGTATATGTTAAAGTTAATAATAATAGTAGTATCCAAAGTTAAGTCAAGATTGTTCTACGGAAACTATAACCAACAACAACATACTCACTATAACCTCGCGATCCGGAAAAGGTTGTGGTTTATACGCAAACTTACCCTTTACTTTGTGAAGACGAAGAGATTGTTTTCGATAGATCCTCGACTCAGGTAAAACATAACAAAAGAAATTACGTATGTAAAACAAATAAAGTAGTAGAGAACAAGTCATGCCGAAAACAATGCAAAGATCAAGATTAACAACAATAAATAATACGATTAATGACTTCCAGCATACCAAATACAACCAATGGAACATTAAAGGTAGTGTATACACAACCTTACTCCTTACCTTGTTTCCGACGGAGAGATTGTTTCCGACAGACCTTCGATTCAAGTAAAACATAACAAAAAAAATCACCCATGTAAAACAAATAAAGTAGTAGAGAAACTAGTCATGCTGAAAGCAATGCAAAGATCAATATTAAGAACAACAAATAATACGATTAATGACTTCAATAGTACCAAACATATTCGATGAAAAATAAAATGTTACCAGTGCGGTTATCGAGGGAGAGCTGGATCTCAGAGCCACCATTCAAATATTTGATGTGATCAAAAGCCCAACTAGGCTCATAATTTCTTCCAAATGGGACATCAATTGGCTTATTGGGCTTAGCTCCCATTGATCCTCCTATTAACACACACAACACCAACATCATCATCCATTTGAAGCCCATAATGTTTCTATTATTTTTGAGTTGATGAGTAGAAATCGAGTATAAAGAAAATCTCTAACGTTAGCTATAAATTATACGAATCGAAATGTTGTTACGACTTTCAAATCAAAACTGAGAAAGCTCAATTAATAAAGAGCATTCTTTAAAATGAATAGAATCCTACTAAGAGAATTTATTTATTTTTTGGTTTGGGATGAGAAAATGTACTAATTCTATGCCATTATATATAGTATAGATACTCTAACGTGGAAGTTACTGCAACTTTGACAGTCCTAAAACTAGCTGGCCAATTAATTCTTTCGTAATAAGTGATTTTAAGGAGCCGTGGTGGGGTATATGCGATGGCACAATCAGAAATTTGACGAAGAGTGAGCAATTTTTTTTTCCAGTTATGTAAAGAATGTGCAAAATTAAATATATTTATAATAGTTACATTTTAACCTCTATACATCACAAAATTTTTCAATAAAGGATATGCACGAAACCATCCTTCACCTATGATGGTTCCGCCCATGAGTATAGGATAGACAAAGTTATCTCGACCTCATAAATTTGGATGTCTTATACGTTAATAACAAATTTCATTATTTTAATATAAATGGCGCGATAGATAATTTTGAGATTAATTAATTAATACCTCTAATCAAATATAAAATAGATTTATTTTATTTCTTATCACAGAGTTATTATTTTTATTCACCGCACCAAACAACAAGTATTTGGTATACCCAGTAAGAACATCACTTAATAGCATATAAATTTAAAAGTGGCACTCAAGGTATCATCTGAGATCTCAAATACAAATACTATAAGAGATAAAAAAACAAAATAAATCACGCACAACAATTTTAAAAAAATGAAAATTAACTTATAAAATTAGTCCAAATACATTTAAACCGACCCAACATCATAATTATAAAAATTAATTATAGTCACAGGATTCAAGAGGCATAATTAATGATGAATTGATAATGTAATTAATTGTATCTCGAAAGTCTCCAATGGTCAATGACTAGCATTGCACGCACGTGCATATGTTATTACACAAAATTTAAATCATACTACCTCCATTTCATTTTAATTTAATTTTTGAGATATTTTTTTATTTTTTAAATTAACTTAATTGTTCAGTTTTCAAGATTACTTTTAGAGTGTTCTTCCAATTTTACCCTTCATTAATTAGTATTGGAATTAGTGAGTAATTAATATTTAGTTATTTTAATCATAAATTTGACAATAATTAATAAGGGTAAAAATAGAAAACTATGTTCAATTTATGTTTTAATTTACTTTTTTTAAAGGGTGTGAAATACCTCAAAAATTAAATTAATATGGAATGGAGGGAAGTATAAATTTTGAGTTATTAGGTTTTAAGTTAATTTTTGAGGCATTTTCCATTTTTCAAATTAACTTCATTGTTCAGTTTTCAATACTACTTTTAGAGTGTTCTTTCAATTTTACCCTTCATTAGTTAGTATTAGAACTAGTGATTAATTAACATTTAGTTATTTTAATCATAAATTTGACAATAATTAATAAGGGTAAAAATGAAAAACTATGTCCAATTTATGTCTTAATCTACTTTTCTTAAAGGGTGTAAAACACTTCAAAAATTAAATTAATATGGAATGGAGGGAGTAATATTTTATAGGAAAAATCCTTTTGGCCAGAAAATTTGGTCAGAATGGTATTTTATCTATTTGAACATTTTTATTTTTTAACTTTAATATCTTTTAATTAAAATATGGAAAAAGATCTTTTTATTTTAAAATAAAAAAGATATTATAAACTTTTTAAATTTCTGACCAAATTTTCTGGCCATTAAGCATTATCCTATTTTATACATATAAATTCTTACTTTTCGCCCTAATTGCTACCACTAAAAGGTACTCCCTTTGTTCCTAATTATTTGTCCACTTTTGAATTGACACACTTCTTAAGAAAATAATGATTGACATAGTGAGTTTACCATTTTATCTCTATTAATTATAAAGTGGATGAATTAAAAATTTAAATTTTTAAGAAGTTCTATCTTTTTCAAACTAATTAATTGAGAGTATAAATATGTAAAAATAATTTGTCCTTTCTTAATTTGTTAAAATGAACAAGTAATTAAAAATAACTATAAAAGAAAAAGTGGACAAATAATTACGAACAGTCTATACTTTTAACCAAAGTTTTCAAATGAATAATTATTAGTATTATAGCACATGACATGTGCCAAGTCTGGCAATAGTTGTAACCAAGGCACATGATCAGGCAACTATATATTATACATAGAATTATTACAATAGGACATAATTAATTATAATCACATTTAACTAAGTGCATAATATATCAGAGAGCTTTCTCCCACTTCATAATTAATTTGAGAATATCCATAAAAAATATAGTTTTCTATTTAATGCAGCATCATGGATGCAAATATCATTGGCCAACTAATTATACCAACAACACATATCACATGAACACAAATATTTATATATATCTATGCATTGATGTAATGAATCCACGCTGAGGTGTCATAGTGTATATTATTTGCGGATCACATAATTTTGATTAATGAGAGAGATAAAGGTTTGTAGATAAATCCTAGAGTCTAAAGGTCGGTTCAAATTGAACAGAATCAAGACAAAATATTTGAAATGCAAGTTCAATAATGATATAACACATGAGATTGGAGTGGAAGCGAGACTCTATACTTAGGTCGTCATTCAAAAGAAAGAAACTTTTAAGTATCTTCAATCGATTATCTAAAGTAACAAAAAAATTGACTAGGATGTCACACATCGTACTGTTTTGGACAAGGCATAATAAATAAGATTGAGACTTGAATATGAAATTTTGTGTTATAAAAACATACAACCAAGACTTAAAAAGGCAATCTTATACAATAATAATTAGACTGACTAGGTTGTATGGAAGCTAACCTAACTTGTAATTGACAAGTTGCTCTTTGCAACGGTCACATGATTAACATAAAATAAAGTGACATTATTATCTTAACACGAAAATAAGTGTTTTAGTCCATCAATATATGCCTAATTAAAACAGCAAGAAAGTAATTAATGAGATACTCCCTCCGTTTAATAATAATTGTCCACTATATTATTTTGGAATGTTCAACAATACTTGTTCATTTTATGAAATTAATGAATAATTTTACACTTGTTCCTAATATACCCTTATCATTAATTATAGTCATTTCTCTATTACATTTTTTAAGACATTGTATTTATTACTCCCTTTGTCCCTAATTATTTGTTCACTTTTGAATTGACACGCCTATTAAGAAAACAATACTTGACATATTGAGTTTACCATTTTACTCCTATTAATTATAAAGTGGATGAATTAAAAACTTGAAATTTTCAAGAATTTCTACATTTTTCAAAGTAATTAATTGATGGTATAATATGTAAAAAAGATTTATCATTTTTTGATTGTCAAAATGGACAAGTAATTAGGAACAGAGGAAATATATTCAAAGGATATTATAGTAAACTTACCCTTCTATTTATAGTTTTTTAAGAAGTTGTACAAAGTCAATAATGAAGACATATTGTTGAACAAAGGGAGTAAAAGATGGATTAATTTATGGATTAATTAAAGACTGACATCTTCATGTGCTAGTGTGACATTTGCTTCAACCAATTAATTAAGCATTAAAATGGCATCAATTAATTAATACTCCATCATTATCTTTTCTGCAATTAGAAGGTTCATAATTCCAGGGTGCTAATTATTTACTTGAAGTTGTCTTAACTATATGCAACATAATTTATGTGTTGCCAGAAACTAATTTCCCTAGATAGTCACCATGTTTGAGAAATTACCTAGGAATATCACTTATGTTTGTTTTAGGACTATAATATCACCCAACTTCACCTATTTTTCTCAAAATATACTTGACACAATAAATACATTATCTCTTTCCTACTAAAATGCCATGCCACATTATTATTATTATTTTTTATCATTATTATCAATTTTTTAAAAAAATTTAGACAATCCATATATTATATCCAGTAAAAAAAATTTACATAAGGAACTGTAATATGAGCTCCTCCAATTCTTCCAGAAAATATATGGCTTCCTCCGGTTCTTCAAGGAATAAATTAACGAATTTGCATAAGGAACTGTCTCCTGAGCCGTTGTATACCTTTTATGTCGACCAAAGAAATCGCCACGAGGTAAAATTCAAGTTTTCTTCTGATTCTTTTATTTTTGAAGTGTAAATTGTGAAATAATTTGAATACTTAACATGATATTGGAGTAATTTTCTTAAAATTTAGGGATTTTTTGCTTGCTTGTTTTTAATCGGATATTTCTATTGTTTAAATCTGCCTAAGCTTTGAACAAATGTTTATAGTTTGTGTAAAAATCTTTTTTTTTACCATGAACAAGAAACCTTTGATTTTTTACCGTGAATAAGCAACAGATGTTTATAGTTTGTGTATAAATCAATGTTCCTAATATCTAGTTTATCTCTAAATATTCAACTAAATTTATTGTTTCTTCATCAGCTTCAAGTAACTAGTTTAATTTTTTCCTCGACAGCAAGACTAAATTTTTGTATGGATATAACGGCAAATACTCATAAATGAAACATAGGATAAAAATTTTCGCTATAAAATTGAAGTAGCTAGATTTTCATAGAGAATGGATTAATGCTCTCTTATAGATACATTAAACAAGCTGTCATTTAAAGAATTTAAAAAATATTATTAATAAATTAAAAAATGTGACATGGCATCCTAGTAGGAGAGAGATAATGTATTTTTTGTGTCAAGTATATTTTGAGGAAAATAGCAAAGTTGGGTGATATTGTAGTCCTAAAACAAACATAAGTGTATTCCTAGGTAATTTCTTAAACATGGGTGACTATCTAGGGAAATTACTCCTATATGCAACATAATTTATGTGTTGCTAGAAATTAATTAAAAAGGAGGTCCCATACGAAAGAAAAATGACAGTCTGGTAAACTAAATTTTCACTATGCACGAATTCATCCCATAACCTTTTATTATCGCAACAAAAGGAATGGTATCTCAAGCATCTGATATCTCTATTCGATTAACTTTCATTATTGAGCTAGCCACATGCAATAGTACCTACAATAAGGGTCATATGGTAAAACTTCGTTTAAAAAGATGTGGTAAGAAAGAAATTGACTAGGTCGAAGTTATTCCATCTATGAAATTCAATGGAATCCAGAGAGACCATGTCTTCATTCATAGGTTTGGTTGTAGATCGGGTCATCCATATAATATACAAAAATAAACTCCAGATATTTGAGATCTTATTAGAATATCTACGAGACTCCACCTTGACTAATCAACTAAATCAAAAAGAAAATAATATGCTGCACCATTTCAAAAATCATTCAAGCTGCTTTCAACCTAACAACAATAATATACCCAGTAAAATCCCACAAAGTGATGTCTAAAGAGGATAGAATGTATGCAAATTTTACACCCCAATCTTGTGGAGGTAAAAAGGCCGTTTCCAGAAGACCCTCAACTCAAGTAAAACAAATCGAAATGGAAATGAAAAAGGAAAATGATAGTGAAGAGAACATCGGAAGCATTCAAGCAAGGAACATTAACAATTGCAAAATAGTGCAATCACCTAAACATATTAAATAACAGATGATAACCGATAACAAAAGCAAGAAACTACATGAATAAAGCATTCAAGCTAATTTCTACTTGGTAAACCAAAATGCATAGTGAAGGAGAGAATATAAACCATTTATCCATTAAGCTTAAATCTCTATAATGACAGTCACAGTGTCTCTTTGATTTCAAGAATTGATTTTGTCTACACAAACATCAAATTTCTTAACCATAATGTAGGAAGATAAAATAAATTATCAACTTCTTTTGGAAAAAACACCATGCTCTCATCCCAATTCATTTTCTTCCTTTGCAACGGGAGCACGGGTTATGTCAGCCATGGCTCGATAAATCCCTACCTTTCGACCACCATCAGGGGGACATTAAAGAGGGAAAGAAGGAATGCAAAACCTATAGATGATATATTACTGTTTCTTTGAGTCTTCTCCTTTTTTCCTTTCAGTCAATCTATTGTTGTCGTTATCGTCTGTAGGAACTGTCTCAGCGACTGAGATATCCTTGGAATACTTTTTCACCCGCAAAGAAATGAGGATACTCGCTAAGATACCAAGTAGAGGAAAGATGTATGACCATAAATTGGATGTATTAGATCCAGAGCCGGATGATACAGCAGCACCGGCTAGACTGCCAATAGATGTGTTCTGTAGGATCATTGGCAGGCAGCCAATTGCTGTTGGAAGTAGGAAATCCAGGAAGAACCTGACATTGGTGGCTGCTAAGGCATAGTTGATGACATAAGAAGGTATAGGTGAGAAACGGGCAAGGAGTACAAATTTCCATCCATCTCGTTCAACACCCCTTGAAAGCACATGAAAGTATTTGTTGTTTTGCACCCACCCAATAGCAGACCTGGAACTGCGAAACACAAACCTGGGGAAGTATAATATTAGAATTGCAATGTCAGGATCCTGAGAGGGAGAAATAGCTACAACATTTAACAAATTATAACTTCACAAACCAAAGCAGAGTGCTCAGCTGAACAGTTTAAATGTACACCTCCTCAGATACTATACGCTTATTTCGCTTAAGCAGAAAGAAAAGCTTAAAAGAGGGGAAGGGGAACAGATGACCATCTCGTCACCTGTTATTCTGAAATCCAACGACTAGAATATAATTTCCTTTGTCCATAGGAGTGAAAGATAACAGAAAAGGCTGAGCTCTCTAGCTTAATCTGTAACTTGTGGTTTTCAATTAATGGAAAGAAAGTAGCCAAATCGGCAATAACCTCTTCTCATGCCAATACCATATCCAACTCCTCCAAATTAGGTCGTTCATCTGCTTAAAAATTAAGTTGTTTTCTATTTTTTGATAACAGAGAAATCTCCGAGGGTCAATGGTGCACAGTTCAAAACACAATGAACAATGGGTCTGCCCCTCTACCCTTCTCCACTTAAACACAATGCTTTTGACTGCAGCTGTAAATTAAGTTGTTTATAAGCTGATCACGTCCCCACTTTTACTTTCTTCGTCTCATTTATACATCCTCAAACAGTCAACCGAATTAATGTATTACATATCCATTCCACAACATCTTTGCCTACTTGACTTTATTATTTCATGGTCTAATTTAGCACGCTTAATCAACCATTTGTAAACAAATTTATATTATACCCCCATCTTCACATTTCCCAGGTATTAGGATGTCAGATTTGGGGAAGATGAAAGATCTCTCAGAGTGAAACAACAGTGATTTGTCTACAAGGTAATCTTTCCTACAATAACCCTTTTTTCTCTCTTCTAGGTACTTTCATTATAATATTGCTTCAGATATGGGTTCAATCTACATTTTAACCCTAAACTCAACTACGAGTATTAGAAACTGAGGTATTACTTAAGGAATATAAGATCAGGGAAAGAATTCTAAAAACAACTGTCATGAAGCAGGAATACAGAAATGTAGCAAGGCAACTATGCCTTTTGCTGTCTACAACATTACTAATTTTTTTAAAAAAAAACTAAAAAAACTATGCCTTTAGCTGTCCAACAGAATTAGCAGCAGCTGCAAGGATTCACTATGCTGTAACCAGAATCTGAATGATGGTGGTCTTTATAGTAGAAAGTAAGTGAAGTTTCAATATCTGAAAAGAATGAAATCTTGATCTCAGCTGCATGGCATTGTCAGCTGCAAATCATCTCAGAAAGTACTATAAGCTACACTCCTCATCAGTAAGTCCAGGCAAAAAAGACATGGATTGACATTTGTTTGTATCTCCTAATGAAGGTGGTGATGATTCTTACATATTTCTCTGTACCTGCCCTAATTCCTATATTTGTCTATGCTATTTTTTTGGGGGGAACTGAGGCATAGTTGTTGTTGTCTATGATACTGGCGTATAAATAAAGAACAAGAAAAACATATTCTTTTCTTTGTATAGGTCAAGAAAAAGAGATTACTTGTCATAGTACAATTCTCACAAACCTAACTTCTACAAGCTTCTTCTGAGATTATTATTATTATTAGGTTGAACCCATCGGTAGCCACCTAAAGTTGACATCAATTTTTCACTTGGATACCTCAAGTAGGCCTTATTCATTTTAAACACCTTAAGTAGGGGGCCGTTGTGTCATATTGATACTTTTTTGACAACCAGCCAAATATATAAGATGTGTGTATTACACACGCTGATGACGTGTCAAAGAAGCGAATTAAATAAAGACATGTGGCATATATATATAAAATAATTATTAAAGAAATATATTATGAATAAAAACCTATTTTAAAACTATTTAATTAATTACTTTAAAAATTAATTTTCAATAAAGAAGAAAAAGGAAAAAAATCTACAACACCTTTCTTTTTCTCCTCCACCATTTCCACATCTCCTCCTCCTCTAACCACTATTACCTTCTTCTTCAACTTTGAAGATTATCATTACTACCATCTCTTTCTTCAAATCTACCTATTATAATTAATGGGTCATAAGCAAATACCCATAATCCAACTATCATACCACCACCATCTCTTCAATCCTTCAAATTTAGGGATGGCAATGGGGCGGGGCGGTTACGGGGCAAACCCGCGAAGAGTTTAACTCGCCCCGCATAACAAAAATTCTCATTTTCAACCCGCCCCGCTCCGCCTTGCATAGACCCGCCCCACATGATTTCTTTATTTTTAAAAACTGAATTTGATATTAAATATAAAATTCACATTTTTTTTATTTTTTCGATAAGCAATATTCATTTAGTATCAATATTCCCACCACTTCAAAATTTTGGTAAAAGAAATTGCTTCAGCAGAAGCAAACACTATCCAACATAAGCATTCAATATCCCAAAAAAAAAAAAAAGATTTAGCACTCCTTGAAAATCCAGCAAATGTTGATAATTATATATTGTATAGGATCCAAAAAAAAAAATCAATATTCTGCCATTTCCTTTCTGTAGATTTACATGATAAGCAACACATATTTGAACTTTTAAAATTAAAGGAAAATCGACATTTGAGATACCAATAAAAGAAAAAAAAGGAAAATGACAAACATATAAAGGAAAAGTAAATAAAATTTCGCTATGCTTCTACACTCAAATTATCTACTGATTTCATAGGTAAATATTCATAATTTCATATCTAATGTTAGTTAACCCCCCTCGCATCCGCACTAAATTTCTTTTGAAAAAAATCAACCCGCCCCGCTCCACCCCGCACCCACATAAAGACCACCCCGCCTTGCCCCGCATAAGGCAAAACCTCACCCGCCCCGCATTTGCCCCGCCCCATTGCCATCCCTATTCAAATTTATCATTTTTTTTTATCCAATCACCTCCACCATTGGAACTGCTCGTTTTGAAAGTTTCGAAGTACCCAAAAAAATTTTATCCATGATGAAATCAGATCTATTTATGAATTTACTTGAAATGGGTTCATCAAAATAGAAAAGTTAAAAGCTTTGAGAAGTAGAAAATTAGTGTTTCAAAAATTGAATCTGGAAAGAAATAACTTAAATAGAGAAAGGTGAAAATAGACCAACGAGCATTTGAAGGATTCAAAGAACTTTCCGACAATGAAACTATGGAAAAATTAGGTGGAGAAATTTGATATCATGAAGAAGATATATGATGTAGACATATTTTGGTCCTTTCTTAAATTATTTTTGTTGATATATACAATGACAAGAGAGGAGAAAGTTAATATACAATGGTGGCAACGTGGTGGCAAGGTGGTGGTAGATGGTGGAGGAAGTTTGGGGAAGGAGAGAGAAGTTAGAAAAAGAAATAAAAAAATTAAAAAAATCACAAAAATTAAGCCTTTCATGCGCTCAAAGCAAGTGCAGCACACATAATATGTCAACTCAGCAAAAAGTGTCAAATTGACATAATAGGACCCTACTTAAAGTGTTTAAAATAAACATCGTCCAATTGAGGTGCCCAAGTGAAATTTGGTGTCAACGTTAGGGGGATACCGATGGGATAAGCCTTATTATTACTATTATTTTTATTGGTATTATTTAACAAATAGAAAGACAAGCACTAATCTAGTGTTGGAAGCTTTTATTAGGAAATGTTATTAACCCTAATTGAACTGCAGAGCGTAAAGAGAGGAAAGCTTGTTTAACTTGTTTCAATTTTCAATATGCTAAGACAAAACATACTATTCCGGTCAACGGAAACATAACGAGAGTAAGATTACTCTGTAATAAACTTACCCTCCAAAGAAATAAAGGGGTATATTTCGCAATCTCCTCATTTGGACTCACGAGAAAAAAGATGATATAGTTTCTTGTAGACAAAAACATACAATTCAGCCGTCAAATGAAATTCAGAAACCTAGGTAGGCTTGACAATTTGAAACAAGAAGTTCATGAGTAATGAGTATCTAGTCTCCTAGATCAAACAATCACCCCTAATCACGAATCATCTACAATTTCTAGGAGACGAGATGTACAATTCAGCTGTCAAATAAAATTCGAAATCCCAGATAGTCTGTGAAGTCAGCAAACAAATTCTCAAGTATCTATTGTTAAATCAATCAAACAACTACACCTCAATCTCAATTTCGCTACATTAATCCTCAATTCCCAATCTGTTCTATTCGAGTCCATTTCATAAGCAAACCAAAATAAATAGTATCTCATTTTTAAGGCAAATTAACTCCAATTTCCTTATATTAATCCTCAAATCCCTTCTACTCTATTCGAGTCCCTTTCATTCCCAAACTAAAAAGTACAATCTTTTTCAAGGCAAATTAACTCCAAATTCCTTATGTTAATCCTCTATATCCCTTCTGCTCTGTTCGATTCCCTTTAATTCATTCCCAAACCAAAAAAAGTACAATCTTTTTAGGGAAATTAACCCCAAGTTCCTTGTATAAATCCTCTATATCCCTTCTGCTCTATTTGACTCCCTTTCATTCCCAAACTAAAAATATACAATCGTTTTTTCAAGGCAAATTATCCCCAAATTCCTTATATTAATCCTCTATATCCCTTTTGCTCTATTCGAGTCCCTTTCATTCCCAAATTGAAAAAAAAATACAATCTTTTTAATGCAAATTAAGGATTATCTAAACCCCACATATATTTCCCAATTGATTCGACATTTGCTTCAACTATTCAATTGCTGCCTCTTTTTCGAAACTCAATTGGCTGCTTAATCCTTTCATCGCTGCGATTATCGCTACCACCACTGCATTGTTACCCATTTCCCCAATCCCATAACTTCACCCTCTCTCTTTTACAATCCCCTTTTTCTCAATAATATGAAATGTTGAGAGTGAACTGAGCTGATCTTTCATTCCGAAACTAAAAAATTACAATCTTTTTAAGGAAAATTAAAGATTATCTAAACCCCACATATATTCCTACAAGTATAACTAATTTACTCCCAGACTCCGATAACATTTGTTCCAAATTTGAAAAAAATAACAGTGAACTCAGTTGATTTTCCATTAGCAAACTAAAAAAATACAATCTTTTAAAGGAAAACTAAAGATTATCTGAACCCAACATATATTCCTACAGTGACAACTAATTTTCTCCCAGACCCAGATCATATTTCTTCCAAATTTGAAAAAAAAAAATAACAGTGAAGTCAGCTGATTTTCCATTAAAAATGACAATCTTTTTAAAGAAAAAACTAAATATCATCTAAGCCCCACATATATTCGTACAGAAATAACTAATTTACTCCCAAATTTGAAGAAAAAACAGTGAACTGAGCTGTATCCAAACTAAAAAAGTTACAATCGTTTTAAGAAAAATTAAATCCACATATATTCTTAATTTACTCCTACACCCAGATAACATTTGTTGGAAATTTGAAGAAAAAGTAACAAAACGAAGAAGGATTTACCTGCCGATGGAGAAAGAGAGAGAAGCGCCAAGAATTTTAGCAGAAAAGACGCACAAGACAGCAGGTAAGAAGCCAAAAAGTAGAGAAGCACCAGCTTCAAAGAAGACGGCATAAGGAAGACAAAGAGCTAGTGTAATTGTATGAAGAGCCACATAAGCAGGGATCGCCCAATTTCCTAATCGATCAGACATTAGCTTTAACCATTCAATGGCTGCCTCTTTTTCGAAACCCAATTGGCTGCTTAATCCTTTCATCCATGCCATTATCGCTACTACTACAGCTATCGTTACCCATCTCTTCATACCCATAATTTCACACAACAATCCTCCCCTTTTTGCTACTACTACTCTCTCCCCCAAATTGTTTCTTCTTTTTTGTTTAGAGTATTATTTTTCTTTTCTATGAGGACATCCTTTTCTTGCAATACTAATTTAGGTAAATATGATGCCCTTGGATACCTAACTAGTAGTATTTCCCTTTTATTAATTCACCAATGAGAAACAAAAAAAATAATTAAAATCTATGACCATTTCCAACTAAGTTTTTTACCAAACATTTAATATGAATTTGCAATTATACTCCCAACTAGAAGGGGTACTATACCAATTACACCTCACAATTCAAAACTCTTTTTATTCTTTGTCTACTATTTAGGTGATATAATGTATGCATTGGATTGATAGGTCTGTCACATATTTATCCCATGAACAAGACTTGCTCCTTTAATTTCTTTTTAAAAAGTAAAGTTGCACACTGAAAATATGAGAAACCAAAAATCAGATTTGATATCCAAATGAAGATGTCTCTATCTTAATAAAAACAAGCACCTAAAAGATCTTTGGATGATAATTATCATCTTTAACGTTGAACGAATGTTACCAAAATATTGTTAACCCAAGTATTTTTTTTTGGCTCAATTGTTAATATTAAAGGATCTTTTCACTGTTGAAACAACTTAATTGAGTTATCTGTAATACAAGTACAACAAAAAGCAAACAACAAATTTTCCTTGTAGAAGCTAAAACTGATCAAATGTTAAGAACGTCTCAGAGTTCTGCATTCATTTGTATACAATTTAAGAAAACTAGATTAACCAGCCATATGACTAAATCTGAAACAATACATAACTCATCGAGCTGGAAGGCGATGTCTTATGATACCCTGATCCTCGTACAACTCAAAGTTTGCTTTAGTAAATTCATTGCTTGAGAAAAATGCTTTGAGATCAGTCATGCCATAATCAAGTGCCTGCAATGATTTTAGAGAATGGGATGTTCATTAGGCAACGGTTGGGAGGTAACATATCATACTTCAATATCACATAAATAAAGAGGATTTCCAGTATAATTTACCTTGCTTTGTAGCTCCTCAACCTTCACATCAATATGATCTAGGTTGGCAGCAGAACCTGAAACAATTTCCTCAAACTGCAGTGCATCTTTTACAAGCCCACGTAGGAGGTGAAGAATGATAGCATTGAAATCTTTTTTGTATGTCATGTACTTTTTGAAGCTCTGCAGCAAAATTCAAAACCATTTCAAATGTCCATATCGACAACTATTACTGGGGCATATGAATATAATAATGTGATTATGTCTTATGTAGGCCTAACATGAGCTACAAAGAGGTAGAGTGCTAATAGTATTGTATTACCTTTTGCAATGCTTTTTGCACCCCAAATTTCTGGGTTGATATAAATGAATCCAGAAGGACACGAATTGCCATATCCACATCTTCTTGAGTAACATGTTGTCTAAGATGCATCCTTGCATGGGCTTCAGACATCCTTATCATCGATTCGATGTGCCTCACTGCTATGGGAATTCCTTGTCCATGCTGTACATGTAGATGGAACACATTAGACAATGTGTCATTGCTAAAAAGCTTAAGCTACCATACTTTAAATAATTTAAGAAAGAAGCTCCACTAAATGGCAATCTCACCGAAGATTCTCTCCTTAATTCAGCATAAACCTGTGTGAGCTTGTCCAAGTCCGCATCATGTAATTTTGGGAATACGTTCAACTTTGCATAAGTTAAGTACTTCTTTAGCAACTCTTGAGGAATTATCTGTGGGAAAAAGAAACTTATATAGATTTTAAAAAATAAACCATAAAGTTCAAACAAATGGTAAAAAAAATAAGCTGGAAGGGTAACCTCAGGATCAGTTGCAGCCATAGTGGCACGGGCATCATCCCGTGAATCAGTAAATGACTTCTCATCAATAGTAGCACCTTTTGCTTGTGACCTAAAATGACTATCAACAACAAACTTTGCAAGCATCTCATCAGTGACTGGATCAACCACATCCTGCACAAAACCAGTTTCCTTCAGTTTCAAAAGTTGCTGAAGGAAAAGCTAAACCAGATCGACAGGGCTCTAAAAGAATGACATTACCTTGACCACACAGAGTACATCAAATCGAGAAATGATTGGATCTGTCAATTCCACATTTTGCGTGAAATTCTTCGACGAATCATATCTACAAGGATTTAAGAGAAAAGTCACTAAACTGAAGCAGGGAAGAAATGTCAGGAAAAGACAAATTTCATAGCATAAGCAACTCAGAGGAATGACTTCCAGAAAGTATAGTGCTTGATTCTACCAAATTGTATTTGCACATTAAAACTATTGGATTCTGTGAATGTGAGGTAGCAGCTAAAGTGAGGAAATTTTATGGCAATACAACAAAAGCAAATGGAAACCTAAACCTAATGCATAGATAAAGAAAATGTAAAGAAATCCAAGATCTGGTGACCATGAAAGATGTGGAAATCCCAGCAGCTGTAATAGAGGGATTAAGCTAGATTTCCAAGATAGAGCTGGTAGCCAATTAATAGTAACATTGACTTGGAAGGAAATGTCTACAGTTAGGATCATATCATCCTATTTCTAAAAACATCAAAATTTAGTTCTCCTATACCTTCCTCCAATAGGATTTGCAGCAGCAATAACAGAACAGCGGGCCTGGAGAGATGTGACAATGCCAGCCTTCGATATGCTAATACTCTGCTGTTCCATTGCCTCATGAATACTCACTCTACACAAAACATATAAAAATAAAGAAAGGAAAGAAACATGAGAATGTTATTATCGAGCAAGCAATGTAGGGAAGACCAGCTAAAAGTGCAGATATCAGACTTGCATACCTATCCTGATCATTCATCTTATCGAACTCATCAATCAAACATATTCCTCTATCAGCCAAAACTAGTGCTCCTCCTTCGAGGGTCCATTCCCGAGTGACAGGGTCCTTGTGTACTGCTGCTGTAAGCCCTACAGCAGAAGCTCCTTTTCCAGTTGTATAGACGGCTCGTTGTCCCGTCTTCTCGACATACCTGATAGGGTTGTATGGTGATTACAGCACTCATTGATTCAAAATGAGGTCATTCTAGATTTATACTTACTTGAGGAACTGTGATTTTGCAGTGCCTGGATCACCTAGCAGGAGAATATTTATGTCTCCTCTCAGTCTGTGTTTCCCTTCAACATTTTTCTCTTGTCCCCCAAACATTGCAAGAGCTATGGCAGTCTTTATGTCTTCATGACCATAAATTGACGGGGCAATGGACTTGAATATCTGTGGAATAAAAATACACGAGAAAAGAGATAGCTAAGATAGTCTACAAATCAAAAGGACCAACTGGATTTTAAAATTGACAAGGCGCATGGGCATACTCGTTCTCCAATCCGAGGGTCTTTGGCCAGCTTTTCAATTTCTTCTTTGTCCTCCTGAGTTAGCTTGTAAGCTGAAAAGAGGTCTTGCTTTTTTGTAACATAATTTGCTTCAATCACGGTAGAAAAGACAGGAAACCCATTCTTGGTATTCAGGGACAAGTCAAAGTTGTTAGTGTAGATTCCTGTGACTTCCTGACATTAGAAAGAAGCACTGTCTGTCTTTAGCAAGGTCATTGAAAAGTTCAAAAGCATTAAAGTTCAAGAAACACTCGGTAATGCACATGCCAAAATATTCATTTAACTAGGATTAATTATCATAAACAAGCCAAAAAAGTTGAGAGTTTACTATCTCTTCTCCTGGTCGGGCACAATCAATAAGATCATTCAACAGTATCACTTCCTTGTATCTAGGAAGCCGACCAGCTGGCACAATTCCTGGGCTTTCTTGTAGTGTCAGTTTCTGATAGTTCCTGTATATTGTCTGCAAAAGATTTAGAAAGAAAATTAAGTTGTCGACTTCATAGTTCTCTTTCTATGGAAAATATACAACACAATGTTTACCTGCTCAACATTGACACTGAATGGTCCTTTTGACTGACACTCTGGGCAAGAACCAACCTTGACTTCTGAGTATGAGTTCTGGAAAAAAGGACCCAATACTGCTCCACATTTGTTACAGTCATATTTCACTTGTTGCAATTGGGGAAAGACACCAGATCGCCGGGTAACGACTCCACCAATACGAATCATGGTGTTCAAATGGATCTGCCTGCAAAGAATGACAAATTCAAGTAAGGTTTTGTTTACACTAGATGTAGTCAACCAAAGTAAGCAAGTAAGTGATATTACCTTATATTACGAATCTGATCATAAACTGGTAAGTTGGTAATCCTTACATAGACTTTCTGATGAATTTGCTTATAGTTGGGATGAAGATCAAAGACAACTTTGTTGGCAACTTCTTCCATCACTTCAAGGACGGATTGTGGTGCATCTGCCAGCCAGATGGCAATATTGGGATGGACATATATGAATTGTTTGTAATCAATCTCAAGGCTGCATTTATTAACTGCAGATGAAGGATGAACAATTTAGAGAAGATCTAAATTAATAAAAGATCTCTGTTGGAACTCGTAAAACTAAATTCATTCTTGAAAAGGTCAGCAATGACTTGACAGGTTCAGAAACTTTTTTACCTGATACCATCTCATTAATCTGTCGAAGATATTCAAAGTCCCCATGTTCATTTTTTGGATTTACATATGTGAGTAAGAATTCCTTGAACTTCGTTGCAATGAAACGCCGGACTTCATCTCTAGTTACCCATTCCCTAAGTGTTCCCTGAACCCTGTACATCTCAAACTCCCCTTCATCATTTTCATCATCCTGCATGGAAAACCCAAAGAATTGTAAGAGATATATTCAGGCAATTCAATTATGATTAGCCTTAGTATAAAGGTGTTACTGTGAAAGTACAAACCTCATAGGGATCATCATCAGTTTGATCAGTCATTGGCACATCCTGGCTGGAGTTTACTCGTTGTGATGCCCCTGGCGAACTTGGCATTGCATCAGTATCATCAAAATTCCTTCTGAAATCAGCTCTAGTCCTTTTTGATGGCCTATAGTTGTCATCATCAGTATCTGTAGCAAAATACCTGAGTGTTAGCTGGTTTGATTTCAGTCTGCTCTGAAGTCATTCTAATTAGTAAAACACATCAGTCCCAAATATTCTAAACAAGTTAAATTCATATATATCAGCTCCTACCAGAAGTT